AGCAAGTGCATCCCGACACCGGAGTGTCGTCTAAGGCCATGAGCATCATGAACAGTTTCGTCAACGACATTTTCGAGCGCATTGCGTCCGAATCTAGCCGTCTTTCTCACTACAACAAGCGTTCTACGATAACCAGTCGGGAAATTCAAACCGCCGTCCGTTTGTTGTTGCCCGGAGAGTTGGCCAAGCACGCCGTCAGCGAAGGCACCAAAGCCGTGACCAAGTATACCAGTTCCAAATAAATCGCATTGTCAATATATTTGAAATCCATTAATAAAACGGCCCTTTTCAGGGCCACTAAACTTTATATATTAATCCGAATCGTATTTGCCTTCTTACTTCTATCATTGCCCTTATCTTATAATACATATAATATAATATAATATAATACACATCAATCGAACTTGGTTATTATTTAAACAGTACTACGACCCCAATTTCTAGAAGAAGAGTACAACGAGTATTTTCATAGTAGTAACATAACATATAACACATATGTCGAAATTAGAGATGTGTCGTTCACAAACAAACCGGATCTTTTGAACGGGTCAAATTTGTGAACGATATGATTCACATCGTCGAACCGAGGCGATCGGAATCACCCGATATTTTTTTTTCGTATCGGTTCATAGGTTCATACACGAGTTTTTAATAACGTTATCATCAATCATAATATTATGAGAGTGAGTGGAAAAGAGCTGTTCCGAAACTAAGCTCCACCATTTTGCACACGTCAGTATCATACAGATACCGAATGTTTAATCTATGGATCTATATACGAAGTCCGAATCATACAAAATACAAATTATAATATCTAATCTATGTTCGAATCATCACGCGATTCGCGAATCGTTTGGGAACCACGACAATTGAACTGAATATTCGTTCACTACTTTGACCCGTTCAAAAGATCCGGGTCGTATAGTATCACCCACGAATAATATTTTAATAATTATTCTAAATTGTAATAGGTATTCTAACAAAACTATTGTTCTTTTAATATTTAATAATTACTACAATAATAATAAATGTAAAAATATAAAATTGGTAAAAGTGGTTTTAAAATTGTAATATTCTCAACGGATAGCCAATGATTTTTATAGCATCTGTACCTATCAAAATTAAATTCTTTATCATAATAAAACTCAGTTAATTTTGAAATATTTATTTTTTTTTGTTTTCAATACAATTAGACATTTAAATTAATTAAATAATTATTATATATTTATTACAAAACGAAATAAAAGTAAAACTCAAGACATCGTACTAACCCTTGGTAATGTTTACATATTTAGAAAAAATATTATTTTTATTTATTTATTTCGTATAATTATTATTATTTATTATAATCTGTTTGATACATGTTATTACCATGTGATACAAGTTTTAGTTTCAATAAAGTTAACTATCGCCGATGTTTATAAAAAGATAAAAAAAAAAAATAACCTTTTGGTATATTTTGTTTGTTATTTATAGGGTATTATTATAACCATGTATTCGATTAACTGTCATAGTACCGGTCCCATCCCATGACTGAGTTTTTATTGTAAATACCATTTTACAATAGGTTGTAACGCCAATCAGTTATAGAGTCATGGCGAATATGTTGATGGTATAAGTAATATTACTAAATATTAATTAAACTTATTGAGAGCTCTTGTTAGGTGAAATTTGATAAGAATATTTTGTGGCATTTCTTTTGCAGTAGACAGGCATAAACCAAAGATCTGAAGTATATTCTAACCGCGGATTGAAAAATAGAGAGATAACATAGAAGTTATTAATATTTAATAATGGCCCTGAAAAGGGCCTTTTTAATCGGAATGTAAGGAAAAAATGTTTTTAGGCACGTTCACCGCGAATACGACGAGCTAATTGAATGTCCTTGGGCATGATGGTAACACGTTTTGCGTGGATGGCACACAAGTTGGTGTCTTCGAAAAGTCCGACCAAGTACGCTTCACTGGCTTCTTGCAACGCCATTACGGCGGAACTCTGGAAACGCAAATCGGTTTTGAAGTCCTGGGCGATCTCACGGACCAAACGTTGGAAAGGCAATTTACGGATTAACAATTCGGTACTCTTTTGATAACGACGGATTTCACGGAGAGCGACAGTACCCGGACGGTAACGATGCGGTTTCTTAACCCCACCGGTTGCCGGGGCGCTTTTCCTAGCTGCTTTGGTGGCTAGTTGTTTCCTTGGGGCCTTGCCACCGGTCGACTTACGGGCTGTTTGCTTAGTACGTGCCATCGTAGCGCTTATTGAATACGGTTAATGCAACTGTCAATACAGGCCGAAGCGTGGGTTGTGAAACGTGTTTCAATATCACCCACATATATATACATTTATTAGAGATGTATACGCCGTTTTCATTGGTCGAGATAATTCAACTGACTGCAAGAGCGGGAATGTACGATAAAACGATCCGATTGGTTGGTACTGTCGTTCCGAGTGTATAAATATACCTGCCGGTTGTCCCTGTGCTTTCATTCTACGCAGTTAGTTCATCAGAACAGGTTTATACTCCGTTTACGTTAAATTACGAATCAGCTGAACGATGACTGGACGCGGTAAAGGAGGCAAAGGTCTTGGCAAGGGAGGAGCGAAGCGGCATCGTAAAGTACTTCGTGATAACATCCAGGGAATTACCAAACCCGCTATTCGTCGTTTAGCCCGTCGAGGTGGTGTCAAACGTATTTCCGGCCTTATCTACGAAGAAACTCGAGGTGTGCTGAAAGTGTTTTTGGAAAACGTTATCCGTGATGCTGTAACCTACACTGAACACGCCAAAAGGAAAACCGTTACGGCAATGGACGTAGTTTACGCCCTCAAGCGTCAAGGCCGTACCCTTTACGGTTTCGGAGGTTAAATTTAACTACTTTTGGAAACGTGCAACCAACCGAACATGAACTAATATAATATACACTCTAAAACGGCCCTTTTCAGGGCCAACAATACTGAATCCAACCTTTTTTTTACATTTTGTTTTTTTAAATATTATTACACTCTGATGATTATATCTCATATTTAGTAGTTTTGTTATTATAATATCATTTGCTGTGTGCATATTATTAATATTTTAGACTTTCCACTATCAATCGAGAATTATTCCGTTAGGTTATTTCACGAATAGGGCGCGAAGCCTATGGAAAAGTTTCACACTGGTATATCCACACTCTGCTTAATTATTGGTTTAGTATTTTGGCGTATAGTGCGAAATTCTCAGACTTAATAACATGATTCCCCAGTCGCATTTTAATACCATTCTTCACACGAAACAAAACCATGCATTAAAAACAATTATTTAGACATATTTGGTATCTACATGTTATTAATTTATTACATAGGTATTACGGTTAATACCTCTTCAGTACCTATTGAATAATTTCGATCTGTGCGACTGTGCAACTATGGAAATAATTGAATCCACACAAGAAAAACATAAAATATGTTTTAATGGTTATACTTACATACACCAAAAGGATTGCAAGTTTTTTATTAAATGGAATTGTTCAAAATGTAGCATTTTCAAATGTCTAGCTATTTTAAAAACATCGCTTCACATTGAAAATTCAATGGAGTTAATATTTATTTTATTATTATTTTTTAGCTGCTGTATTCAATAATACGCAACAGAACTACTGATTTCTACGATATTATTTATTTTTTTAAACTATTTATTATTATTATTTTGAACAGTTGTCTGCACAATATACATTAAAAACTCTTGATGATTAATCTACGAGGTGTGGCTATTTAAAAACGGGATTTCCTTCTGATTAGAGTGCAATCAATTCTCTGGTGGGTAATTATATCGTAGTTATTATCTGCACAACTCAACTCATCAAATAATATCAGTTTTATCTCTTTTGGTCAATTACGAAACTGCCGTAATAATGCCTAATTTAAAAATCAAACAGTGTGTTAATTTAAAATTTCTCGTTAAATTAAAAAAACCGCCCCCAGAATGTCTAAAGATGTTGACGGAGGTGTACGGGAAGGACACGATGTTACGTACTCGAGTTTTTGAATGGCATAAAAGATTTAAGGATGGGCGAGAAGAAGTGAAAGACGACGAGCATCCTGGTCGCCCTTGCACATCAAACAGTGATGAGAACGTCGACAAAATTGACAAAATTGTCCGAAATGATCGTCGTTACAGTATTCGTATGATTGCAGATATGATAAATATAGACAAATAAACAGTTCGACAAATTTCACACAACAATTTAAATATGAACAAAGTCTGTGCAAAAATGGTACCGAAAATGCTTTTTCTGTTAAGCAGTTTCTAGCCAATAAACGCATTCCAGTACTCGAGCATCCTTCATATTCGACAGATTTAGCACCCTGCGACTCTTATCTATTTCCAAAAATAAAAACTGCGTTGAAGGGGATTCATTTTCGATCCGTGGAAGAGGTGAAGACTAAAGCGGCAGACCTACTTAAGGGCTAGACATCTGAAGAGTTGCAACACTACTTCGAACAATGGTTAACACGTACAGAACGGTGTATAGTGAGTGAGGAGTATAGATGGGGATCACATTTAATAATTGTAATTTTATAAATAAAATATTTTTAAAACAAAAATCCTGTTATTAAATAGACACACTTCGTATTTTCATTTTTTTTTTATATTTAGGTACATATAATGCTTACTGTATTGTTTCTTTGGGGATTTATTTGTAGGAATTTTTTTCGGGGGATTCGTACTTTAGACACCTATTATAGATGTCATTGAAAATCAAATTTTTAAATATTTTATCAATTTTATTCATTTGATTTTATACAATTAAATATTAAATTCAACATTATGGCCTACCTGATGGAACGTGTAATCGTCGACGTCATAAATACGTAAAGCGTCTGACGCCAAATGCTCATTTTCCGATTGCCGCCATTTATCGGGAAATCAATCAAAGGTCAATCTGAAAACGTATCCGCGTTCGGAAACATCTGAAGAATATGTCAAAATAGAATTTTTGTAATTTTGAATGAAAACAAATTGTTGGTGGTCAGTTGACTAAGACAAACGAAAACTAAACGAATGCGCTGAAATAACGGTTTACAGTGTTTATTTGGTGAAAAATATTCGATAAATAAATACTGAGTGTTGTTTANCGTAATTGAGAAGGTTAGGTACTATGATTATACATAATATATAAAATGACGTATCAGTACTAAGCAACAAATTGACGAATTAACAAATATCTAATATGTTATAATGAAAAATTACATAGGTATATCACAAACACTGTTTGAGATAGTGTACAGCTTTAACTGATCTCGGTGTCTGCAGTGTTTGTACTCATTTTCAAACTTGACTAAACTTTGGTAATATAGTGACGATTGTAACTCAAAGATTAGTCTTGATGTTGGGGTTACTTTACATACCGACTGGGCATAAAAAATTAATAATATTAAAATATTTAACAGTTTTATAAAATAAACAACTTCTGGTCTCCTTTTATTCATTCGATATTAGCAATATATTTATTGGAAAGCGTATCATCAATAGAGTAAATGTGACTATATAAACTATATAGTTAAACTATATAACCTATAAAAATATTATGTACTGTCAAGAACCTATAAACTAAAAAAGACTTAATTAATATAAAACAGCAACTTCCGCCGATAAATGGCTCTAACAGAATCATGGCTATCTCTGACAAAGAAAAAGCAAACATTTTTGGTGAATATTTCTCAAACATTTTCAAACAAGATATTGATATATTTCCCAGCGCTGAACACCTTAAAAAAAAATACTCATTTATAAACTCTTCCAATGTTACTCCTAGCAAAACATACCTCACCAAGCGAAGTTAAATTTCCAATAATTAAACTAAAAGAAAAAAAGCACCCAGTTAAGATCTTATTACCAACAAAATTCTAAATAATCTACCAAAAACGACAATCGTTCTTATAACTTATATCTTTAATTTCATGTTACGGATTTCTTACATTCCTTCAATATGGAAATTATCGACAATAATTGTTATTCCTAAGCCCAACAAACCCAAGAATAAAATCACGTCTTACAGATCCATAAGTTTATTACCGACTCTTGCCAAATTATTCGAAAAAATCATAATATTAAAAATAAGAAAAATACTCCAAACCTTCAACATAATTCCGCATTTCCAAATTGGGTTCAGAACGTGTCACTCGACTGTAAATCAAATTCACAGATTAACTGACCAAATTTTCTCTTCATTTGAAAAAAAACAATACTGCCCGGGAGTTTTTTTAGATGTGGCCCAAACGTACGAACTAGTATGGCACAAGGATCTACTCATTAAACTAAAAATGTTCTTACCTGCTCCATATTATTTGATAATATGTTCATATTTGGAAAACCGTACTTACTTAATATATGGGAACTTTGTATCGCCATTCTACCAATTAAAGCAGGAGTCCCCCAAGGTAGCGACCCTTCTCCGATTTATTTAATGTTTACACGGCTTATATCGCTAAAACCCCAAATACTATTATGGCCACTTATGCTGACGATACTGCGATTCTCTTTCCTGGAATTGACCCTGTAGAAACTGTTCATTTTTTACAAACACATTTAGACTTAATAGTCAAATGGTCATCCAACTGGAAAATCAAGAGTAACCCTGACAAAACAACTTACCCTACCATTATAAGGAACACAAATCCCAATGTTCTCAGAAGGAAAATATCCCGGCATCTTACTTGACATAAGATTGACCAGAGGGCTATTGTCCGTATATTAAATCAAAAAGAAAAACTCTTAATAGTCGTCTATACTTGCTTCACCCAATTCTGAAATCAAAACTACCCTTGCATACAAAATAAATCATCTACAAATCTTTATAACGCCTATTTGAGCATATACAATCTAAATCTGGGGATGGGCCAACCTTCCCAATTACGTACTCTCCAGGCCATTCAAACCATCACTCTCCGCATTATCACTTCTTCCGCACCTTGGTACGTATCAAATTCCATATTTCAAAATGACTTCAAAGCAGAAACAGTAAATCAATAATTAGCTA